TTATTCAACTAATTCATTTTAAATTATTCAATTAATTCATTTTAAATTATTCAATTAATTCATTTTAAATTATTCAATTAATTCATTTTAAATTATTTCATAATTTTCATAGTGGTGGTTATGGGGTTATAGTCTAACATTTGGTCACGCTCCTAGTCATTTCATTGGAAATTTAGATCATGCTTTCTTATTGAATGTAGGTGATGACCCACAAAGTTCTCTTACCGCTAGTGTACCTGGATTAGTTTATGCTATTTATCAATGTATGTTTGCTGCTATCACTCCTGCTCTTGCTATTGGTTCTGCTGCTGAACGTGGTCGTATAGTTCCTGCTGCTGTTTTCATTTTCATTTGGTCTACTATTGTTTATGATCCAATTGCTTGTTGGACTTGGAATAGTGAAGGCTGGGCTGCTATATTAGGTACTTTGGATTTTGCTGGTGGTACTCCTGTACACATCGCTTCTGGTACTGCTGCTCTGGCTTATTGTCTTATAGTTGGTAAACGTCATGGTCATGGAACTGATGAATTTAAACCTCATAATATCGCTAATGTTGTTCTTGGTGCTGTATTCCTTTGGTTTGGTTGGTTTGGTTTTAATGGTGGTTCAGAATTGGCTGCTAATACTCGTGCTGCTACTGCTTGTGTTGTCACTAATTTGGCCGCTTCTGTTGGTGGTTTAACTTGGGCTTTAATGGATTATAGATTAGAAAAGAAAATTTCCGCTCTTGGTTTTTGTTCCGGTGTTGTTGCTGGTTTAGTAGCTATTACTCCTGGTTCTGGTTATGTTGAATGTTGGGCTGGTGCTGTTTATGGTGTTTTGGCTGGTATTATTTGTAATTTATCTGTTAAATTAAAACATGTTTTTAATTTTGATGATGCGTTAGATGTATTTGCTGTACATGCTGTTGGTGGTTTAATAGGAAATATTCTTACTGGTATTTTTGCTAGTAGAAAAGTTTTTGCTTTAGATGGTGCGGATAGACCTGGTGGTTGGATAGATGGAAATTGGATTCAAATGGGTTATCAACTCGCTAATTCTGTTGCTGCTATAGCTTATAGTTTTGTGATAACTTATCTTATATTATGGGTCATGGATAAAATTCCTGGACTTTCACTTCGTGCTGATATTGAATCTGAAACTAAAGGTCTTGATGAATCCGAATTAGGTGAATTGGCTTATTACCATGTTGACAGATTAGTCACCGTAAATACCAGAACCGGTGAAACTAAAACTGTTAAAGAAGAAACTATTCATCAACAAAATGATACCAACGTTTCGATCGTGTAAAAATTAGTAATAGGTTAATTTTTGGTTTGGTTGAATTTTTGGTTGCATTTAGGTTGTATTTTAGGTTGCATTTAGGTTGTATTTTAGGTTGTATTTTAGGTTGTATTTTAGGTTGTATTTTAGGTTGAATTTTAGGTTGAATTTTAGGTTGAATTTTGGTAATAATTTTATTTTTTTTCATTGTCAAAATCTTTTACTATCCTCATAATTTTTATACTTCAATATTTCGAATTGAATTCGTACTATTTAATTGAATCATTTTTAAAAAAAAGAACAAATTTTTTTTGAAAAATTGAAAAAATTTGTTAAAAATTTATTTATTGATGTTTAATATTTTGGTGGTTTTTTTTTTTTTTTTTGAACTTTAAATCTTTCATTTAAGACTGTAATAATAAATAATCTAGTCATTACTTTTTATCTTTCTCAATCTGATGGTTATTGTCATTATTATCTGAGAATTAATATAAAATGGCCGTGTACAAGATGCAAGTCTTTTACATTCTATATACATACCGATACCAATTTGAACTTTAATTAAATAATTTTAATTTTGCATATAACTGTATTATATATATATTTAGTGAACTTGGTGAAATTAATTTCACAAGGCATCTTTAGTTGAAGCCCGGGAAGTCAAAACGTACAACACTGATCATTCATGATCGTGCCAGATCGTTGGTTCCGATTTTATCCGGACATTACTCAACTTACTCAAAATTGGAATTTACACTTTCTCGTACCATAATGATAACGTTTAAAAAGTACCATATTTGTCAATTAACGTTAATTTGGGCTGAAAAAAAAAAACAAAACACTGCATACTGTATTTACATACATACATTACACACACGTTATATCGACTAGTTAAATTATGCAATTTTGATGTTTACCAACCATATCGCAAATATCGCGCATAGTACGAAGACGACATTATTAAAAAAAAATCACCTGTAATCGCTTGTAATCGCTTGTAAATTGTTACAACCACGTTTTTTTTTTTTTGAAATTCCAAAAAATAGGTACAAATAGGTATACCAATACACATAAATCAAAGGTTTAAATTACTATTAATTTTGTATAATGTAAATAGTACACAATTTTATTAATAATTTTTTAATGAATTCATTGAAGCGCAACCTTTAATTAGAGCATCTGTTTCATGATTGGTTTTCCTATTAGCTTTCCCATTAGTTTTCCCATTAGTTTTTCCATTAGTTTGCCCATAAGTTTTTCCATTAATTTTTCCATTGGTTTTTCCATTAGGTTTGGGAATAACTAATAGGTGCGACATTATAAAGCTTGGCAAATTTTATTCTTTGTTCTCAATTACAACATAGGCAAACAAAGAACATACATATTATGACTTTACAAACTGACAACCTTATTCTCATTTATTTACATGCGCGTTAATATAAAGTTATGAAAGTATGCTAAAGTATTCTGTTTAAAATGAATTACTGCGTACGTATACGTGTTAACACATATATTAACACATATAGTAACACATATACGTATTAACACATATTTTAACACATACAAGTATTATTTTTACTTTGCTGTTTTCGAATTTCAAATTTTAAACCATGTGATAACTAGTATTATATAGTTTTTACAGAAACTGCATATAATAAAAAATTATCAGAGATCCCACTTCGACAATAATCCATTATTTACATGGTTTTAAACATTCACTACGTAGCGATCTTTTATTGATCTAGTGATATTACAGTATTATATTTAAAGTTGCACACATAACGATAAGTTTAAAAAAGAATTTTTAATTACGTAATTATTTTAATTTAATATAGAAAGTATACAAAATATAATCTAAATCTTGTTCAAGTCACTTCTAATTAAAGTTAGTCTAATAAAAGTCAGTGGAGAAGTCATCATATGAGTTAAACATTCCAGCTAGTTAATTAATACTGTACGTACATAATTACTATCGATAGTATTCACAATATTCATAATCCAATATATGTAAATGAATTTGTCAAAAAAAATGTGACTAAAGTTGCCACCTACATACATACCTAATAAAATTTCTTTCGGCTCAACTAATCGTTATAAATCGGATCGATAAAATAAAATATTTGTACTATACTTAATAACGTAATCATGTATTTTTGTATAATCAAATGATCATAATTCAGATATTCAATGTTTTATTTCTAGAAAAATGATCAGATATTCAATGTTTATTTCTAGGATGTCCAAAATTTGGCTGTAACTTACCGTAATACGTATACGTACGTACGTATTAGCGGTATAAACTTAACAGTTAAATTAAATTTGTATTATAAATCAAAAACAAGTATATTTTAACGTATTTAATTTCGTAAAAATCAAAAAATAAATTTTGTATTATTTATGCTAAAAGTATTATAAACTATGATAAATAATTTATGTTAAAAGTATTATAAACTATGATAAATAATTTTTACTAAAAGTATTATAAACTATAATAAATAATTTATGCTAAAAGTATTATAAACTATGATAAATAATTTATGCTAAAAGTATTATAAACTATGATAAATAACTTATACTAAAAGTATTATAAACTATGATAAATAATTTATACTAAAAGTATTATAAACTATAATATTTTTGTCTTTTAAACCAACTTGTTTAGCATAAAATTTTGTATATTTGTATTTTCAAAATTAGTAAAAATTTTTTTCATAAAATTTTATTAATAAAATCTTCAATTTTTATAAAATTTTAAAAAGTTATTTTAAGTAATCTTATTCTACTATTCTCAATATATTTAATTCTAAAATTTGAAAATAAGTTAATATGTAAGTTAGAAAAGATTTTAAGCTTAAAGTTTATAATAAAATTATATATTTTTATTATAATTTTTAGAAAATATTTAATTAATACTAGGGGATATTGATATCTGGAGTACTATATCTTAAAAAACAGACTAAGAAACAAGATC